CATAGAAACTTCATCTATAATTATAACTTGGCTGTCTCTGATTCGCCTTCCGTGATAGCTTTGCATTGACACTGATGGGGTGTAATTTTCGTCAATGTTTATCCCAAACCTAAATACCGAATGAACGGTAGCACCGCCAGTCAACAGTGTCGCTGCGCAGCCTGTATAAGCCGAAGCAATTACACGGATGCGCATGTCTCTTAGTCGTGAAATTACAGCGTTAAATAGATAAGTCTTTCCAGTTCCACCATCTCCTGTTACAAAGATGGTGTTGGATGAAGTTCCGTTGATGGCATTTTGAACGGTTGTCCAAACATTTTCTTGGTCGTCATTTAGCTTTATCTTGGGCTTGTTACCGCTTGCAAAGTCATCTTCATCTTTGTCTCCAAAGAAGAAGTTATCAAGTGCGTCGTCAACGTCTTGTCGCATCCCGGGGGATGGAGAATCCAGACCAAATTGTTGGTTTGTCATTCCAGCGTCCGAGAGTTGTGCTTCTATGATGGCCAATGCCCGATCAATACGTCTGTTTCTTTCAATCCCATTTGGATCATTGCCGACTACGGGCTTGAACATATGATCCACAAATCTTTCCCATAATTCGCGAGCATTGCTCGGATTTCCAAAGACCAAAACCTGTACAAACAGGTATCGCATTGCACCGGGTGTGCTGAAATGCGAGGCTTCCTCCAATGTTCTTTCCCAGACGGAATCGTCAGAAAGCAGACCTCTCAATCTGGCAGACTCAACAAAAGAATTGCACATTACTCCGTTAACGTCCTTTAATGCCTCGGGATCGCCAGGAAAATGGCGGAGAAGGATGTAAAGAGCAAACCTCTCTTGATCCCGAGGAGATGGTCTAGGATAAATCAGTCCTATTACATCCATTTTTCGAATTCTTTTTTTCCAAACTTTGTCGTTATAATCAAACCAATAATTTTCTGGCATGTGTTCGTATAGCGTATTCGTTATTGAAGCATCGTCTTCAAGTTTCCATTTTTTATTAATGAATTGCCACGACTTTCCTTCTTTCCATTGAGACCAGTACTCTGTGAGCATGGTTTTAGGTAAATTTCCTGGTAATCCAGCAGCAACTGCTGCAGCTTGACTTTGTTTAAAAACGACCTTTTGATGGCCTGGCAAGTGGATTTCCATTTCGTAAACTGTATTGGAAAGTCGTACGTAAGGCATTGAATGGATTCTTGCATATGCTTCATTTGCAGAGCGATAGTACATCTGAGCATAATGCGCAGGCTCGTCAATATCGACCATGTCACCTTGGACTTGGATGTATTGAAAGGTGGGACCCTTTAATGGGTACTTCATAGTATATTTCATATTGGTTTTTTCACCGTAGCAATATGCTACATTATGGTGTGTTTTATATTTCAGTAGGATAAACGGATTATATGGCGTCACGTGAGCATTGGTATACTCAGTGAGCACTCCACCCTTCTTCTTTATCGATACAGTTTCACCACCGTCCTCGGGACTTGGTCGATAATGGACGGCTGGCTGGTCGTCATAGAGTATAGTCTTATTAGAGTAATCATAAGGGAAGAATTTTGAACATTTCCCATTTTTATTCCTTTTCCCACAAACATCAGGCATACAATCATGAAGCTGATGTTTAATGACAAGTTCTCGAAGGCGTCTTTCACCCTCGGCACGTGGGCTTTTATCATCTTTATCTGGTAGTGGCGGAATATGGGCAAGAATGTAACCTTCAATAATCTCCGGTATAGCAGGAATATCAGTAGCCATCACTCTGTGAAAGTGAGGACCACCCCTTTTCTGGAATTCCATGCTCTCAGCATAACCCAATTGCTTGCCAAAAATTTGCTTTACATTCAAGTCGTTATGTACCTCCCTAACCTTATCCGCGTAAAAACGCATGACAATGTCAGGACGATCAATCAATGATTGACCGTTGGGGTATAGTTCGTTCTGCATTTCAGGCCAGTTTGGATTTGAAGTGAACGTAAACATAAACATGGCGCATCCTCGCTTGCGTTTACGATTAATAATCGTGCACGCAGATTTATAATTTTTCTTAAAGTAAGCCCTAAAGCCAGGCATATTACTTCTAAAGAGAACTACATGTCCTACTTTGTCTGCGGAGGATTTGCCAGCATGCTTAGCAAAATAGTCTAAAAGTTCAGGCACAACTTCACATCTCAAATCCATATCAGGCTGACGTAAGTATTCAAATACTTGCGAATCAATTCGAGCAGCAATATCGAGAGCAAATTTTTGACCCAATCCGCCACCAGTGCTCCAAATATGATGATAAGTTTCATTTTCCGGATACCGAATTCCAAATCGATAACGATAGAAAGCTCTATATGAAAGATTGGGGCGAGAACGGCTTGGTTCGTCACCATAAATATCAACAGAACCACAATCGCTTTCAGCAATGGAACCGGTTTCCGATTTATCGTCATCAAAGTCTTTTCTAACAGTAGTTGGCTTTTTAGCAATTTTAATATATGGTATGTCTTTAGAATATCCCTCGTCCCCGAGCAAAAACATGCAAGGGTAGAGTATCGAATCAGTCATAGGATGATTAGACCATAAATCGGTCACATTTCCTTTGTCGGTAATCCAAATACCTCTGAGTGGCGGAGGCTCATCAGTATTGGAAGACCAAATCGCAAAAACAGGGGACTCAGCTTTAGATGGCAGATTCACTTGGCGTGGATGTAAATTCGGATCTTGGATCGCTGCAGGCGCATTTTTATCTTCGACTAAGATAACCTTGAAATTTTGCAGATTCTCCGGAGAGTTCTGTTCAATATCCTTGTAAAACTCATAAGAGTTTTTAAGAATTTCCGCCATCGGATGATAGTCTCGAATTAGTTTGTCGAGAACCCGGAAGAGATGTCTGTGTTCATCTTTCCGGATCCAGTTGTCAAAATTTGTATTGTTCATGCGATGGTCGGTTGCGTCCTGCGAGTCAAGAATATAAAGCTGGTCAAATGCAGGAATCTGAGTATCAGCTGCCATGATACTTCCGATTCTGCGTGCAAATTCTCCATTTAAAAAGACTGCCATTGAATCCCCCATCATTGCGCTTTGATGTCCGACGGAAAGTGACCCGAAGGCCAAAAGTGTATTGAATTTAGCTTGATATTTGATATATTCTTTAGATTCATCAACTTTACCTTCTACAAGTCTTCTATACTCTTTCGGATATTTTTTGAGCGGATCAAGTCGAACTCGACCATCCGTACAAGATAAACATTTTTCAGCGCGAAGGAGTCTATTATCACAATGCTCACAAGTTTTATCTCCAAATTGACCAGAATTGTAATATTCTGGGAGATGACCTGACTTGAAGGAGGCACAGCCAATCCCTTTATGCTTTGTCCGGCAACGTTGTGACATAGGAAGAAAAACTCGTTCTCCTTTCGGAGTAGCAATTGCAATATTAGACAATCCTGGCGTTAAATTAGTTGAAGAGGCTCGCGTAGAAGCTCTCGTTTGCATTCTAGGAGTTGAAAGACTTGTAGTTGGCAAGTTATGAATTGGGCTTGATCGGCGTATATTAGCTTGGTCGTTTTCATTTCTCGGGTGATACTCAACATCATCTCCGGAATACAATTGGTTCAAATGCCATAAAATTCTCTTCTTTTCAGTGTTAATATTAAAATTGTTTAACTTGAGATTACGGTTATTGAATAACCACGCTTCGGCATATAGGCAAATAAAATATCCGCAACTATGACCGTCACGTTGAAGTGTGTATTTGTCAGTGGCATATGATCCCAAATGTATTAAATCGGAGCGTCTGTTGGTCAATTGAGAAAGAATCTCCATAAGTTTTGGCATTCTATCAGGGTGATAGTCACGGTGATTATCAGATAGTCTATGAGGATCGTCTGGCAGTGAGTCGAAAAAATAAGTTCCGAACTCACTGTCAAAGATAATGATAGTCCAGTGTCCTGGTAGGTGAACAGGAAGAAGTACAATTTGTACATCTCTGTCTGGACCAGTTTGGTAAGAATAGTCAGCGTAATTTAAATTTTCTAATTGATAATGAAGTGGATCCGTTACAAGCGGATCCACTACAATCACCTTTTTGCCAGAAACTTTGGCTAGATAGCATAAATATGCGAAGATGAAACTTTCATTTGGCCACTCAGAGAGTTTATTCCATAGTACTTCAATGGCGCGAGGGCCCGTATTATCATCATCTCTTTCATAAAGAGGCATAACTGCTCTGCGGCAAATGGAAGTTCCATCAGTAGTTCTCGTAACTGCAAAGTCAAGTGTACCCAGCGTAGAAAAATCAATATTAGATTCTTCGTTACTTGGTAAGACTTGTTCAGTTATTTCATTCGTTATATTTTGTTCAATATCTGGCGTGACTGTTTTTCTTGGTCGTCCACCAACACCCTTGCGAGTGTCCTTTTTAGGCCTTCCGCGTCTCCTAGACGATTGACTTTCATTAGAAGAGCATGAAAATACAGAAGCAGACCTTATTGTTGAGGTCACACTTTGTGTTTCCATAGCCTCAATAGATGAGTCGTGTCTTTTTCGTGATTTTCTTGGAACGCAAACCTCCGAAGAGATGCTCAAAGGAGTGAGCGGTTCCACAAGACTTTCAATATTAGCATTATCAATAATATCTTTTTCACTAAATGTAAATCTTCTGCCCGAGCTCGAAGGCTTCCCAGGGCTTAATTCGTTGTCCATTATTTGTTCAACATCCATCGAATTATTTTGGATGTGCGGATGTGTATAATGCTCAGACTGCTCCTGCTGCACAGACTGATCATTGCCCTGAAGAGGACAGTTTTGAGTTCCCAGATCGAAATTCGGATCAGTCTGCTCTGGTTGGACAGACTGGTCAGAGTCCTGAAGAGGACTGTTTGGGTTAGCGTTCGCCGAATAGCGATCGCGATTTTTTTTACGCTTTTTTTCTTGTCTTGTAGGCATTAATTTTATTTAATATTTTTTGTCAGGCCGTGGCCCATGACCAACTGTAAATAGCCACGGTCCACGAGTTTCACCTCTCGCGCAACTTTTATCTACAGCCAGTCCGCCGCCTGCAAAAGCTTCCAAAAATTAAAGGAACGATCCCCCATGACCGACTGTTGAACACCGAGGAGCCGAAGCTCGAGCCGAGACTCCTCCATGAGCAACTGTTGAACACCGAGGCCCGCATAGAAAATACGAAAAAATAGAAAAAAACTCCAGGTCCGGGGACAAGGAGGAAAAAACTCAGCTCGAGCCGAAGCCCGAGCTGAGACTCCAAGGCAAAACACCATGGAGTCTGGAGGGCCGAAGCCCGAACAAACTCAACTCGGGCCTTCGGCCCGAGCAGTCCGAGGACAAGGAGGTAAAAACTCAGCTCGAGCCGAAGCCGGAGCTGAGACTCCAAGGCAGAAACACCATGGAGTCTGGAGGGCCGAAGCCCGAACAAACTCAACTCGGGCCTTCGGCCCGAGCTGTACTCCAAGTCCGGGGACAAGGAGGTAAAAACTCAGCTCGAGCCGAAGCCGGAGCTGAGCACTCCAAGGCTGAACGCCATGGAGTCTCGAGGGCCGAAGCCCAAACAAACTCAACTCGGGCCTTCGGCCCGAGCTGTCCTCCAAGTCGGGGACAAGGAGGAAAAAACTCAGCTCGAGCCGAAGCCCGAGCTGAGACTCCAAGGCAAAACACCATGGAGTCTGGAGGGCCGAAGCCCGAACAAACTCAACTCGGGCCTTCGGCCCGAGCTGTACTCCAAGTCCGGGGACAAGGAGGTAAAAACTCAGCTCGAGCCGAAGCCGGAGCTGAGACTCCAAGGCAGAAACACCATGGAGTCTGGAGGGCCGAAGCCCGAACAAACTCAACTCGGGCCTTCGGCCGAGCTGTACTCCAAGTCCGAGGACAAGGAGGTAAAAACTCAGCTCGAGCCGAAGCCATGGAGTCTCGAGGGCCGAAGCCAAAACAAACTCAACTCGGGCCTTCCAAGGCTGAACGCCATGGAGTCTCGAGGGCCGAAGCCCAAACAAACTCAACTCGGGCCTTCGGCCCGAGCTGTCCTCCAAGTCGGGGACAAGGAGGAAAAAACTCAGCTCGAGCCGAAGCCCGAGCTGAGACTCCAAGGCAAAACACCATGGAGTCTGGAGGGCCGAAGCCCGAACAAACTCAACTCGGGCCTTCGGCCCGAGCTGTACTCCAAGTCCGGGGACAAGGAGGTAAAAACTCAGCTCGAGCCGAAGCCGGAGCTGAGACTCCAAGGCAGAAACACCATGGAGTCTGGAGGGCCGAAGCCCGAACAAACTCAACTCGGGCCTTCGGCCCGTCGGCCCGAGCTGAGACTCCAAGTCCGGGGACAAGGAGGAAAATACTCAGCTCGAGCCGAAGCCCGAGCTGAGCACTCCAAGGCTGAACGCCATGGAGTCTCGAGGGCCGAAGCCCAAACAAACTCAACTCGGGCCTTGGCCCGAGCTGTACTCCAAGTCCGGGGACAAGGAGAAAAAAACTCAGCTCGAGCCGAAGCCCGAGCTGAGACTCCAAGGCTGAACGCCATGGAGTCTGAAGGGCCGAAGCCCAACAAACTCAACTCGGGTCTTCGGCCCGAGCTGTACTCCAAGTCCGGGGACAAGGAGGAAAAAACTAAGCTCGAGCCGAAGCCCGAGCTGAGCACTCCAAGGCAGAACACCATGGAGGCTGTAGGGCCGAAGCCCGAACAAACTCAACTCGGGCCTTCGGCCCGAGCTGTACTCCAAGTCCGGGGACAAGGAGGAAAATACTCAGCTCGAGCCGAAGCCCGAGCTGAGCACTCCAAGGCTGAACGCCATGGAGTACTCCAAGTCATATGACAAGGAGTAAAATACTCAGCTCGAGCCGAAGCCCGAACTGAGACTCCAAGGCAGAAACACCATGGAGTCTGGAGGGCCGAAGCCCGAACTCTGGCCTTCGGCCCGAGCTATACTCCAAGTCAGGGGACAAGGAGGAAAATACTCAGCTCGAGCCGAAGCCCGAGCTGAGCACTCCAAGGCTGAACGCCATGGAGTCTCGAGGGCCGAAGCCCAAACAAACTCAACTCGGGCCTTGGCCCGAGCTGTACTCCAAGTCCGGGGACAAGGAGGAAAAAACTCAGCTCGAGCGAAGCCCGCGCTGAGACTCCAAGACTGAACGCCATGGAGTACTCCAAGTCATATGACAAGGAGTAAAATACTCAGCTCGAGCCGAAGCCCGAGCTGAGCACTCCAAGGCTGAACGCCATGGAGTCTCGAGGGCCGAAGCCCAAACAAACTCAACTCGGGCCTTGGCCCGAGCTGTACTCCAAGTCCGGGGACAAGGAGGAAAAAACTCAGCTCGAGCCGAAGCCCGAGCTGAGACTCCAAGGCTGAACGCCATGGAGTACTCCAAGTCATATGACAAGGAGTAAAATACTCAGCTCGAGCCGAAGCCCGAGCTGACTCCAAGGCTGAACACCATGGAGTCTGAAGGGCCGAAGCCCAACAAACTCAACTCGGGTCTTCGGCCCGAGCTGTACTCCAAGTCCGGGGACAAGGAGGAAAAAACTAAGCTCGAGCCGAAGCCCGAGCTGAGCAATCCAAGGCAGAACACCATGGAGGCTGTAGGGCCGAAGCCCGAACAAACTCAACTCGGGCCTTCGGCCCGAGCTGTACTCCAAGTCCGGGGACAAGGAGGAAAATACTCAGCTCGAGCCGAAGCCCGAGCTGAGCACTCCAAGGCGCCATGGAGTACTCCAAGTCATATGACAAGGAGTAAAATACTCAGCTCGAGCCGAAGCCCGAACTGAGACTCCAAGGCAGAAACACCATGGAGTCTGGAGGGCCGAAGCCCGAACTCGGGCCTTCGGCCCGAGCTATACTCCAAGTCCTGAGACAAGGAGTAAAAAACTCAGCTCGAGCCGAAGCCCGAGCTGAGCACTCCAAGGCTGAACACCATGGAGTCTGGAGGGCTGAAGCCCGAACAAACTCAACTCGGGCCTTCGGCCAGAGCTGTACTCCAAGTCCGGGGACAAGGAGGAAAAAACTCAGCTCGAGCCGAAGCCCGAGCTGAGACTCCAAGGCAGAACACCATGGAGTCTGGAGGGCCGAAGCCCGAACAAACTCAACTCGGGCCTTCGGCCCGAGCTGTACTCCAAGTCCTGAGACAAGAAGGAAAAAACTCAGCTCGAGCCGAAGCCCGAGCTGTGACTCCAAGGCAGAACACCATGGAGTAATGAAGGCTGAAGCCCTGTAGCTAAGCTCGAGCCGAAGCCCGAGCTAGGGTCTCATTTTTAACCGCATGTTAGCAAATCCAGTGAGCACATTTAAGCAATCCGGATTTCCCAGCACGCACGACGTGGACGTCCGCGGAAGATCAATGAGAACTCGCGTCCCTACCTCCACCCATTAGGGCTTCACAGGCAAAAATTGAAAAAAATTTTTATCGGATTCAGCTTAAATATATATCATAAATGATTCAGTACAAGCCAATCATCACTATCCGATATTTGAGGGCCGAAGCCCCAAATATATTATCGAACTCAGATCAAATATATATCATACATGATCAAATAAGTCTATCATCATTATTCGATAATTTTCTCATGGCGGTCTAAACCAAGCTTACGTTCCCTATTCTCACCATCTTTCGGGCATCAAACTCAAAGCAAAGCTGAGGCCGAAGCCGAAGCCCGAGCTGAGCACTCCAAGGCTGAAGCCAAGGAGTCTCTAGGGCCGAAGCCCGACCAAACTCAACTCGGGCCTTCGGCCCGAGCTATACTCCAAGTCCGGGGACGAGGAGGAAAAAACTCAGCTCGAGCCGAAGCCCGAGCTGAGCACTACAAGGCTGAAAGCCAAGGAGTCTCTAGGGCCGAAGCCCGACCAAACTCAACTCGGGCCTTCGGCCCGAGCTATACTCCAAGTCCGGGGACGAGGAGGAAAAAACTCAGCTCGAGTTGAGAAAAAAAAACACCGAGCTGAGGACTCCAAGGCTGAACACCAGGGAGTCTCTAGGGCCGTAGCCCGAACAAATCACTCGGGGCTAAGGCCCGAGTTCGGCTCATTTTTAACCGCGCCTCCAGACAAGCCGGAGTTAGCAAATCCAGTGAGCACATTTATTGTGCACATTACCGGATTTCCCAGCACGCACGACGTGGACGTTTGCGGTAGATCAATGAGAACTTGCGTGCCTACCTCCACCCATTAGGGCTTCTCAGGCAAATCGCCAAAGCCTATGGCCGAGATTCTCACACATCCAACCGAAAGGAAGCAGGTTATGGCTGCCCACAAATAAAATCCTCTGGCGTGAGTAGATTATTTGCCCTCCGTTGAATGCCGAGATGGCGAATAACTCAGACATTCAAACGAAAGGAAGCAGGTTATGGCTGCCCGCAAATAAAATACTCTGGCGTGAATAGATTATTTGCCTTCCGTTGAATGCTGAGTTATATTTTTGAACCCATGCACCACACCATCCACTTCAACTGGGTGTTTTAGTATTATGACGCAAGGAGGCAGGTCTGGGCTACCCTCAGATAGATTAGTTTTAGCACAACTTAACTATCTGCCTTTTGTCATATTGGTCACGACGGTCTAAACCCAGCTAAAGTGTAATATTCTCACCATCTTTCGAAACAAAAACAAAAAGTTAAAAAAGAGCTGGCGTCCTCACTTAAGAGGCTCATTAAGTCTTAAACTCAAAAGAGTCCTAACATGTCACCTCACATTCAGCCACGGACGTTAACGACTGAATCAGCAACACCTAGACACCAGAGACAGCCGTTGCACAACTAAAGTTGCGATTCAAATTTGATCATTACATAAAGTAATGATCCAGCAGTAGGATTACCTAAAGCTACATTGTTACAGGGACGTAATCAGTATTCGATAATCACCATCTTTCGATAAATGGGTTACAGCTGTTGGACACCAGAGACAGCCGTTACACAACAAAAGTTGCGATTCAAGTTGGAAAAAAAAAAAAAAGTTCTGGCGTCCTCACTAAAGAGGCTCATTAAGTCTTAAACTCTCAGAAGAGAGTCCTAACATGTCACCTCACGTTCAGTCACGGACGTAAACGACTGAATCAGCAACACCTAGACACCAGTTACAGCCGTTGCACAACTAAAGTTGCGATTCAAATTTGATCATTACATAAAGTAATGATCCAGCAGCAGGTTCACCTACAGCTACGTTGTTACGAGTTTTGTCCGGTTCAAGCCATTGCGATTACATAGGTTTCCATCGATGTAATTTAAAGAAATTAAATCAACAGTCACCAATTTTCTCGAAATGGCTCAGTCCCGGGCAGCGACGGGCGGTGTGTACAAAGGGCAGGGACGTATTCAATGCGAGATGATGACTCACATTTACTTGGAATTCCTCGTTCACGGAAAATAATTGCAATTTATAATCCCAATCACGGTAAATTGCAATTGCTCACCCGCCCTTTAGGGGCAGAATATTGCACCGGACCTCTAAGGGTATCACAGACCTGTTATGCCCTTTATTATTATTGCTCTTTAAAGCACCACGATTCACTGAATCATGAAAAAGCTATCAATCTGTCAATCCTATGAGTGTCCGGTCGGGTGAGTTTCCCCATGTTGAGTCAAATAAAGCCTCAAGCTCCACTCCTGGTGGTGCCCTTCCGTCAATTTCTTTAAGTTTCAGCTTTGGAACCAACTTCCGCCGGAACCGAAGACTTTCGGTCCGGGAACACTGATGTATTAGCAGAGCTGGAATTACCGCGGCTGCTGGCACCAGACTTGCCCTCTGCTTGATACTCGTTAAAGGTTTTAACTTGTATCCGATGACCGGCCTCAAAGAGACCGATCACTTTATTTCTTGTCACTACCTCCTCGGTGAGACATTTTTCAAGCCACTTCTCCGGAGGTGAACCCTATCCTCCGTTATCCGTCACCACCACGGGAGTCGATTATACACCCGTCAAGTTGATAAAGTGAACACTTGAAAGAGCAAAATTTATCCATTTAGATAATCAAGATCAAGTAAATCATGGTCATTGTAATGAGCCGTTCGCGGTTTCTCGTTAAAACGATTAATATACATGCATGGCTTAACTTTGAAATGAATACACCAGTTCTGGCAGGATCACCAAGCCGACCGTTAAGCCGACCGATTACTAATCTTGCCGTTTCAATGAAGAAACGCAAGTTTTTACATCCTTCAACGAGGACGCTTAGTCTACACAAAATTTCAAAAATTCACATCACAAATAGAGCCGTAAGGCTAATATCCGGTGTAATAAGTTCGCCTACCAGCGAAAATCACCGGGAAAAAAAATTTCAGTAGAAACAAAAAAAAAATTTTTTTTGTCCCCTTTATGAATATTAATTTTCGCCTAAGTTTTAGCTGTCGGCAACCATACCCGCGCGACCGACTTTCGGCGTGTTCGCAACGATTTCAACGAATAACTCGGTTACGGCTAGGCCGATTTGGATAAGCCCTGGGGCTAGTAGGTAAGCGACCATGGGGAGTTTAATGGGACAGGCCGTTTTGGTGCCGCACTCAAGTGTGGCACCGAAACGGCCAGTTCGAAGAACCCGTTAGACTCAAAATATCCGGCCCGTACTCAAATGGTTTTTTGAGTGTAACTTTTTTTTGGAGGGTCGTAGCGGGATGGGACCTGGGGGGTATTATAGAGTAAATTAATGCGCGTTTTATGATGTTTGTTTGGTGGGGGTCACTTGAGTCTGGGGGTGGGATATTTGAGTCTAAGGCGGGAAAATGATTATATCTGAAAAGTCTTTGCTAGGGAATGACTTTGGGGCTGTTGGGTTATTTGTAGGGGAGAGTGTTTAGAACATTTATGTTAAGGGACACTTGAGTCTGGGATTGAGTCTAGGGGAGTTATGAGTCTTTGAGTGACTTCGACTCGACTCGAGTTTTGCAAAAGTGAATTGAAAACCGTTTTCGATAGCTCATTCGAAAGAGCGTCCCATGGTGGTCAGAAAAAGGTATAATATGTTGGGGGTCCACTTGAGTCTCAAAAAGTTATAGGCGATGTTCGCAAATGTCGCGAAAATTTATGAGACTCTAACGTCCCGGGAAAATTTTTTAAAATTATTCTGACGCCGGATTCGTACTCAGCGGGTGTCAGAGTACCATATAGGGTGTTTTTGGGGTCAAAATTCCAAAATTTTGTCCCACCCCCTATTTCCAAAGGGGTACCCCTTTTGGGAAAAATTCGGGATTTTTTAGGGGACCATAACTTTTTTCGGGATAATGTTATTCGGATGGGGTTTGCTTTATAAAATCAAGCAAAAAATTAAGTATTTTTAGAGGCGAAAAAATTTCGAAAAAATTCGAAATTGAGGCCGAGGGGGTCAAATTTCGAAAACCCCAAAAATTTTCGGTTTTTCGAAAAAATTTCGGGTATTTTGCCGGCGGTTCGCGCCGAATGTATTTTTCCTGAATAGAGCTCATTTTTCTTCATAGAATAAGCCTTTAAAATTTTCAAAAAAGGTTAACTTTGGAAGAGTTATGATTTTTTTTAAATTTGGGTGATTTTTCCGGCCGAAATTTTCGGCCTAAAAAAATAAAATTTTAAAAATGTGTATAGATGGGCCAAATGATATATCAATCGAAAGCCCTTATCGCCCTGAGTATAAAAATATTTTTTTAAAAATTTTCTGACCATTTTGGCAAAAGTTATGGTCAGTTAAATGTTTGAGTCTGGAGGGGTACTTTTGCCGGTGGCGTACCAAAGGAGGGGCAATAAATCAAATATCGTCCGGTAAGATTGTAGAGCGGCACCTGGGGCTCCGAAAAATATATACTTTGTTGGGGGTACGCTTGAGTCTGGAAAAGTTATGAAGTTTTATAATTTTTGAGTCTGGGGGGTAATTTAGCTGGTGGGGTACCTAAGTAGGGGGAATAAATTAAAAAGACTTACGTTATATTGTAGAGAATCCTGAAATCCATCTAAAAAATATAAAATTTTAACGGGGTTATGGGGAACAGAGTTTTAACCAAGTTATGGGGAAAGAGTTTCGGGGTTTGGAGGCCTTCGGCCCCCAAACGTCCCCACAGCAGACCCCCAACAAAGTATATATTTTCCGGAGCCCCAGGTGACGCTCTACAATCTTACCGGACGATATTTGATTTATTGCCCCTCCTTTGGTACCCCACCAGCCAAAGTACCACCTCAGACTTAAACTTTTGACCCATCATAACTTTGGTCAAAAGGGTCAGAAAATTTTGGAAAAAATATTTTTAAATTCCCCTCGATAAGAGCTCTTGTTTGATATATAATTTGCCCCATTTCTACCCATGTTGAAAAAAATATTTTTTTGGCCGAAAATTTTGGCCGAAAAATTTACCCAAATTTTTAAAAATTCATAACTTTCTTAAAGTTAACCTTTTTTGAAAATTTTAAAAGCTTATTTTATGCATAAAAATATGCTCTATCCAGGAAAAATACTTGCGGCCCGAACCGCTGGCAAAAATCCCGAATTTTTTTCGAAAAACCGAAAATTTTCGGTTTTTCGAAATTCGACCCCCTAGGGCTCAATTTCGAATTTTTTCGAAATTTTCTTCACTCTAAAAATACCTAATTTTTAGGACTATTTTATAAAAGAAACCCCATCCCAATCCGATAATCCCAAAAAAAGTTAAGGTCCCCCAAAAAATCCCGAATTTTCCCCAAAAGGGGTACCCCTTTGGAAATAGGGGGAGGGAAAAAATTTTCGAATTTTGGGTCAAAAATAGGCCTATATGGTACTCTGACACCCGCTGAGTACGAATCCGTCCTCGAAATAATTTAAAAAAATTTCCCCGGGACGTTAGAGTCTCAAAAAGATTTGCGACATTTTGCCAATTTGGCTATAACTTTTTGAGACTCAAGTGGACCCCCAACATATGATACCTTTTTCGGAGCCCCAAGGGACGCTCTTTCGATCTGGCTATCGAAATCGAGTTTCAATTCACGTTAGAAAAAGTCGACTTTTCGACATTGACACTTTGACCCAAAACACCCCCAAAAGTTCACCCGAGACTCTAGTGTCCGCTTATTTATAACTTCCCAACATCCAACCCTACAGGCCCCAAGACCCCCAAGTTCTCAAAAACGCGTTATAACGCGTTGAAATTTTCGTCCGGCCATTTCGGCGCCGCACTCAAGTCCGGCGCCGAAACTACCCACCCCAAAAAATTTCTCTTGCCCAACTACCTAATACCCCCCAAGTCCCATCTTAATCCGCCCAGCCGTTCCCGAGATCTCTCACCTCCACATTTTGCCAACCTCCAATGGCACCACATTTTGCCAACATTTAAAAAGGGTTAGCAAGGCACTTCGGTATTTAGACTTTACCGAATTTCGAAATTTTTTTTTTAAACATTATCTACTAATCGTGGGCCAGTCGCCTCCCAGCAGAAGTTTTCCGCTCCGACTTACGGTTCAAAAGTTAGAAACTTTAGGGGGTCTTTTCGGCGCAAAGACAAAGTTGTGGCGCCGCGGTTATATTTTTCCTAAATACCCCTCAAAAAGTTGTAGGACCCTTCCACAACTTCCAAATCCGTGCCGGCCTTCGGCCGGCAGTTATGAGTTTTTAAAAACTGAGTTGCCTTGATATTTTATATTATTAACTAGCTGCAGGGCGTGTAGCTGCGTGCCTATCAGGATGCTGTATATTTAGTTTTATCGGGGGGAGCCTTTGGAAACCATACTTTTTGGTTTTGGAAAGCCTGACGGCTTTGGGGCGCGCTTCGCGCGCTGCTAGTGCTATGGGGCGCGTCCAGGGACGCGCGTGGAAAGCCTGCGGCTTTAAAAGCACGCTAGCTTTAGTTTATTGCTTGGCGATTTACGTTAAATTGTTTAGAATCCTTTGTTTTGCATTTAGGGAGCCTTCGGCCCCCTTTTGCTTTTGAATTAGTTTTGGGGGCATTCGGCCCACAAACCCACCGTTTAGTTGGATACTGTGCCTTTTGGCAGATGTGGTGGGTTGATTCGTGGCGTTTGGGGGGCCTTCGGCCCCACAAACCCACCGTTTATAAGGATACTGTGCCTTTTGGTAGCTTTGGTGGGTTAATCGGGGTGTTTGGGGGGCCTTCGGCCCCCCAAACCCCCAAACCCAGCGTTTAGACGGATGCTGTGCCTTTTGGTAGCTGTGGTGGGTTTATTCGGGGCGTTTGGGGGGCCTCCGGCCCCCCAAACCCACCGTTTAGACGGATACTTTGCCTTCAGGTAGCTTTGGTGGGTTGACTCGGGGCGTTTGGGGGGCCTCCGGCCCCCCAAACCCAGCGTTTAGACGGATGCTGTGCCTTTTGGTAGCTGTGGTGGGTTTACTCGTGGCGTTTGGGGGGCCTCCGGCCCCCCAAACCCACCGTTTAGACGGATACTTTGCCTTTAAGTAGCTTTGGTGGGTTGACTCGGGGCGTTTGGGGGGCCTTCGGCCCCCCAAACCCAGCGTTTAGACGGATACTGTGCTTGTTGGTAGCTGTGGTGGGTTGATTCGGGGCGTTTGGGGGGCCTTCGGCCCCCCAAACCCAGCGTTTAGACGGATACTGTGCCTTTTGATAGCTGTGGTGGGTTGATTCGGGGCGTTTGGGGGGCCTTCGGCCCCCCAAACCCAGCGTTTAGACGGATACTGTGCCTTTTGATAGCTGTGGTGGGTTGATTCGGGGCGTTTGGGGGGCCTTCGGCCCCCTAAACCCAGCGTTTAGACGGATACTTTGCCTTCAGGTAGCTTTGGTGGGTTGACTCGGGGCGTTTGGGGGGCCTTCGGCCCCCCAAACCCAGAGTTTATAAGGATGCTTTGCCTTTTGGTAGCTGTGGTGGGTTTACTCGTGGCGTTTGGGGGGCCTCCGGCCCCCCAAACCCACCGTTTAGACGGATACTTTGCCTTTAAGTAGCTTTGGTGGGTTGACTCGGGGCGTTTGGGGGGCCTTCGGCCCCCCAAACCCAGCGTTAGTCGGATACTGTGCCTTTTGTTACCTGTGGTGGGTTTATCCGGGGCGTTTGGGGGGCCTTCGGCCCCCCAAACCCAGCGTTTATACGGATTCTGTGCCTTTTGTTACCTGTGGTGTGTTTATCCGGGGCGTTTGGGGGGCCTTCGGCCCCCCAAACCCACCTTTTAGACGGATACTTTGCCTTTAAGTATCTTTGGTGGGTTGACTCGGGGCGTTTGGGGGGCCTTAGGCCCCCCAAACCCACCGTTTTAGACTTCGGCATCGGTTTGGGGGCCTTCGGCCCCCAAACATCCCCACGCGAAAAACTCTGACCCCCATAATATGGTCAGACTCAAGTGACCCCCCAACAGAGTTTACATTTTTCGATGTAATTGAGGAAGCTC